ATTATTTATATTTTGTATTATTATTTATTTATTATTGTCATTTTTATTTTTATTTATCATTTTATATTATATTATTCAATATTTCATGAATTTAATATTTATTATGAAATCATTTATTAATCATTTCATTTTATAATGATATATTAATTAAATTATTTTGTTATATCATATTGATTATTCAATATTTAATAATAGAATTTAATGATATAAGATTAATATAATAGATATAAATAAAATGATGAATATTGAAACAATCATTTAAAATCAAAAATAAATAATAAGAAATAAGAATATAATATAAATAATAAAGAATAAAGAAAAGAAAGATAATAAAAGAAATAAATAATAAATATAAATCAAATGATAATAATAAAAACAAATAATAAATAAATGATAAATAAATAAGAATAATCAAAATTAATAATATTAAAAATTAAAATTAAATCAAATCAAAATAATCAAAACAAGAAATGAAAATATGAATCAAATGAAAATAAATAAAATATAAAAATAAGAAATAAAGAAATAATAAGAATAAAGAATAATAATAAGAAAGAAAAGAAATATAAATAATAATAATAATAAATTAAAATAAAATAAGAAATGAAAAATATAATAATAATAAATAATAAAAATATGAAAGAATAAATATAATAATAATATAAAATGATGATATTAAAGAAATTATTAAAATATAAAATAAATTCATTTTAATATAAATCATTTAAATAATTAAACAATAAAATTATTTTATAGTATTGAAATAATTCATAAATATAATAAAAATGAACAAATAAAAGAATAGAGAAAAATAAATAAAAGAATAATAAATAATAAAATAAAATAATCAATATATTAAAAAGAAAAAAAGAGAAAAAATTATATATAAATAAAAATTATAAAAATAAAAATGAATAAAATAAATTGCATAAATAAAATAATGTTAAATAATTTGCATCAATAAATTAAACGCTTTTTTATTGCATATTTCTAATTTTTATAATAAAAAATACATCCATTATTTCATCATTATTTTCATCATTTATTATCTCATTTTGAATTATTCTTTTTTATCTTCTTTCATTTTATATTCACAACATTCTACTTTTATTCTTTTCATCTTCTTCTACTTCTTAATTTCACTTTTTTCTTTTATATCATTCTTTCTCTTCATTTTTCTCTTATTTGCTTTTTTTCGTTGCCGTATCATCAATCGATTGATAAATAATTGGAAGTGTTTCCACTATTTCTTTAATTAAATGATTATTCAACACATCTTCCATTTTAATTTAATGAATATCAGATTAAAATAATAAAATGATTAAATAATTAAATACTCACTCATAAAACATTATTTTATTTATTCATTAAATAAAACATCATTTCATTTATTATTTTAAATAACAATAATAAAAACAAGAAAAAGAATATAATAAAAATAATAAATAACAAAACATTTCATCATAATTAATGATAATATCACATAATAATGATAGAAATGAAAATGAAATAGAAATAAAAGAACAATCAAATTACAAAGAAAGACTAAAAATAAAAAATAAATGATGATAATTAATATTAAAAATAAAATGAAAGAATGAGAAATAATAGAGAAATAAGAGATAATGTTTATATTATCTAAAAATTAACGAGTTAATTGTGACAAGAAAAAGAAAAGAGTAAATAAATCAAAACAAACACTAAATAACATTAAGAGCAAGTAGAAAAAGATATATAATGCACAACAAGAACAATACAAAATAATAACAATACAACAATTATAAAAAATTTAACAAGGAAAGAAATAGAGAAAAAGACATTGATAATAAATCTATAATAATGATATCAATACAATTTATAAAAGAAACGATAACAATGAAAATAAAAAATAAAGAATAAGAAGAATGAATATAATAACCAATAATAAAGAAATAATAATAAATGAAAACAATACAAATAAATGGAATAATAAATTATGTGAATGACTTAAACTTAACTTGTTAAATAAAACAGATAATATTTGAATAAAAGAAGAAAGTATAAAGAAATAAAAAAATAGAATAAAACATATAAAAGAATAAAAAGAACTAGATGGTCCTTAATTATAATAATTAAATACATGTATATATAATTGTAAAAATATTATTCGCCTTGATTATGTTAATAATACAAATTTACTTCCAACCATCCTTCTTCAAATACTATATAATTGTCATAATAGTGAAAAAATGTATTAATCAAAAAATTTATTTTAAAAATGGATGTATCAAATCGGTACTAGTCAAAGGTTATGAGAAGATTAATTTAAATAAGGGTAGAGTTTAGGGTTATTAGAATTCATTGATAATAAAATACATATTATTATTCTATGAATCTATGATAAATTATTCATTTGAACAGTAACATAGAAAACTCTGAGTTATATAATTTTACTTTAATTGTATTTGTAGCAAAGTTACTTTTAAATAATAGTATTGGAGTTAGTAATAATTTTAAAGAGTTAGAAGAAATGACTTAATATTTGCTATCATAATTTAAAGAAAAATTAAATGAAATGAAGAGTAATTAATATTGAGAATGACACTAAATGAAAAGAAGTTAAAAATGAGTTATAATACGTTCTTTGTTATTGGTATAGAATCAAAATGAGCTAATTAAAAATATCCTATTTATATCAATTATGTAACAACTAATAAACTCATTCCATAGCAATCTCTATAATTCATTAATCATTATTTATTTATACTTACGAATAATAAAATAAAATTTCTTTATGAATAATGATTATGAATTTTTGTTCTTGATAACTTGACTTACAAGAACAACAAACCAAATAAATTAATTTTTTATATATCGACTAATTCTTTACAAATATATATATATATATATATATATCATTGAACACATTATTACAAGATATAAAATAACGATTGTTTTACAAAGATGAATAAATTAAATAAGAAATGAAATAAAAGAAATGATTAATTTATCTATTTTGTTCATCTTCATTTCTCAAGAAAACAAGTAATAACAAAAACAAGATAATGAATGAAAAAGAATAACAAAATATTAACTCAAATTAATTAGAAAGACTTTACAATATAATGATAAAAATTATCAATACGAGTAGAGTTGATATTTACTTTGAAGACTTTTAAAAATAAAAGAATAATACTTTAGTTGAGATATTATCAGATGTATGAATTGAAATAATAAAGAAGAATTTTACGAATAAAAGATTAAAAAGAAACAAATACAATTTAAGGAAGTTTATTTTTAAATTAAAGTCCATTAGGGAAATCAAGATAAAGTTCCAATGCAACAACAGGGTTATCAACTTCAAAGTTTTTAAGTACTTCAGGATGTAATACACCAAACATACCATATTTAACTCCATTAATCATGATATCAGCTCTTCTTCCTTCCATGTAAGCAGGGTCATTACCAGGGACAATGTCATAATGTGGTCCACCTTCTTTTCTTGGGTTTTTATATCCAATACCATAACAGAACATAATTTTATCTAATAACCCATGAATTTCTTCCATTAATCCAGTTGGAGAACAGACTAGAGCACATACTTGTTGTCTATTAACTGCTCCTGTTAAACTACCTTCTTTTAATGAGACAGTATCACCAACTTCAAACATTCTAATTGGCATTGGATATGCTTTATTATAATATAAACATTTCATCATTCCTGATAATAAACTTTTTCTTGCTGTTTGGAATTCAAGTGTTTTTGAATCTTTTAATTTAATTAATCCTTCTTCTGGTCTTCTTAAATTTGTAGCTGCATCAGCTATTGACATTAATACAAAAGTAATAACTTCAGTATATCCTGCATATGCAATTTCATCAGCTAATAAATCCTTTAATTTATTTTGTAATAATTCTTTACCACATGTTCTACTAATAGTATTTGAAGCATGAAGATTATTAAATCCATATGAAATAGCAAGATCTTCCATAATATCACATGGATGCATTACGTCTGTTCTCATTGGTGGAATAATAGCTTCTCCATTAGAATATTGAATTCCCATTTTATGTAATAATTCTGTAATTTCTTCATCTTTTAATTCTAATCCTAATGACTGATTTAAATAATTCTTTGTTACTTTCATATGTTGTTCTTCTAATGTTGGTGTATAAATTGATTTTTTATCGTCAAATTCATTCATTGGTCCTCCAACAATTTCTACTGTTTCTATTTCAAATGGAGTTGAAGTATAAAGAGAAAAGCATGTAACAATAGTTTGAAGTGCCATCATAACTTTAGTTTTATCCATTCCAGTAATATCAATAAATACGTCATGTGTATTTAATGTAATTTTAGAATGATTTCCATTAATTAAAGGTGGAAGTGAAAGAATTACATTTTTACTATCTAAAAAGACTGGATAAACTTCTTTTCCTTGTAACAATGGAACATACTCTTTTAATTTAAGATCATTTGAAAAATGTTCAATAACTTCATTTCCTGTCATTTCATGATCACATTTTAATGGTTCAAATTTAATTTCTTCTGGTTTCATTGCAACATATCTAAATGGTGGAACTATTGTTGATAAATCATGTGTTCCTATTGCAACTAAACTTCTCTTCTTTCCTATTGTAAGATGTAATTTATCTTGAAAATCAATAAAACTCTTATAACTTTCTTCTGTAAATGTAATTCCTCTTAATACTGCACCCATACAAATTGGTCTAACTTTTTCTACATCTTTACCAACATGAATTTGAATTCCACTCTATTGATTATTAGTTTCTTAATTCTATTTTTCTTTTGTTTTATGTAATATTTATCAAACTGATTTCACTGTATATTTTGGAAATTCTTTCATTTTTAAAAATGTTTTTAAACAAATGGCAATTCCTTCTACACATAATAAATCATATCTATTTGCTCCAACTTCAATTTTATATATTGTTTTCCCATCTTCTTCAACAACATCATCAAGTTCAATTCCATATTGGAAACATACTTCGTCGAATTCTTTTTCAGCTATTCTGTTAATTATGTTATTTGTTATATCAAAAAAATTAAAGTATTTGTTATTAACAAACTAAATTCTTTTCCAATTAATTTGAAAAGATATTTGCTATCACAACTGATTGTTGGCATTTGATGATTAATGTATTTAAGTTCATTCTTATTTTTCTTTTTTCTCTCTTTTCCTTTTTTAAAAAAAATAGGGTTTTTTCTTTTTGTTTTTTTTAAATGAATTAAAATTCAATTGTGTGGATTGTAATAATCATAACGTGTTTTTTTTTAAACATTAATTCTTTAAAAAATGTTTTATATTCTTTTTTGTCTCCTTTTTTGATGTTCAGTGAAAAAACAAAGATATAATTTCTTTTCATATGTTTGTTATGAAATAAGATAGTTTCATTCTTTTATTGTTGATTTTAATTTTATATTATGCAATTATATAGAAAATCTAAGAAATAAAGTGAATGTAGGAAATGATATTTTATAATAATTAGTTTATTATTATTTGTTTTATTGTTAATTATTGAAATTAATTGGAATTCTTATCATTGTTAATGTGTATATTTTTATTATTCTTTATTATATTATTATTTCTTCTTTTGTATTTATTTTATTATTTCTATGTGAAATTATTTATAATGTTGTTATGATATTTCATTGAATATCTTTGTTATTATTATTGAAAATTGTATAATAATCTTTTGAATGTTTAAATTATTTAAAAGTATATTATCTCATCATTTTCTATCATTTGAATATTTTTGTTATTCTTAATAATCATTTTATGAGTGATTCTTTCTTGAACTAAAAGTAATTGGAATGATGATATAATTGTTAATATATATTTAACAATATCATACAATTAATTTAGTGATATTAACAAGTTATATAATTCTAATTGAATAAAATAAGTATAGTTGAAAGTATTAGAATGGAAATTAACAATACTAATAAATAATGAATTAGATAATACAAATAACAGAAACACAGATAACATTAAATAATGAACAAGATAAATTAATAATTAAAATAACTTCACTCACATGAATAACTAAACATAAAATAATAAATAAAAATAAAAGAAATAGAGATGAGAATGTAATAAATAATTAAAGAAAAGAAAACACTAATGAACAAAAGAATGATAAAAATAATAAAAGTTGAGAAGATGAAATAATGAATAATCTGAAATAATATTATTTTACTATTAATTATAAAATTAATTCTAAAAACTATTAAATTATTTCATTTTTATTATTTATTAATAATAATTTGAAGGGTATATTATAAATCTGGCAGGACCCTAAAAAAAACAAAATTAGATCTAAATGTTATAAACATAAGTATTTACAATTATGTCCTTGAAAAAAACAAAGCATCAGTTTTAATTAACAAAATTACTCCTACAGGTCATGGGAATTCTTAATTAAGAACTGTAGTAGTAATTGCTAGATAATATCATAATAGAGGGGTGGTAATAGGAAAAAAGAGGAATGGGAATATTAGCATTTGTTGTGTTGAAGGAAGAAATGGTTTATAAAACCAAATTTATGGATAAATTCTTCTTAAATCAAATTTTTGTTGATATCACACTAGTTACTTTTGGAGGTAGTTCTTAAAACGGGAATAGATAAATATAAATAATTACTTTAATAAAACGAATTAGGTTTTGATGAAATAAAACATATTCGTTTATTTATTTATACCAAAAGTAAAAACACAAATAAGATTTAAATAGATTTAATTATCTGTCTTGAAATACAGAAAAAGTATGCGTAAATTAAATGACAAAAAATTTATTTTTAAATAAAAGACTCAGAAAAATTTTGCCGAATATTCAAAAAGATCAACAAATAGAAATTTAAAAATTCTTTTGGGATGTTTGTTTATTGGAGTTTAATTACACTTGGAATTTGTTAAACTGAAGAACAATTTTAAAATTATTTTTAGAAATACTATATTTTTTATTAAAATTTCTTATTATTATGTAAATTTTATGGAAAATCTTCGAATTCCTTCTGACTACAAGAGAGGATTTACTATTTTGGACTGAGGAAATAAACAAATGACAAAAAAATTAGACATATATAATGAACTTTAATTGGATATAAACACAATTTTTATAATGGAATTACTCATAGCCTTTCTATTAATCTTGGTTATATCTGCACGCCCAAATAGACAGTCCAGTTTAGGAGATAAGTATATTAAATTGGGAACCACCTACAAATATAAAGAGGATACTCTAAATGGTTTTAATGAAGGTTCAAAGTTAGGTTATTCAATTAACATAAAACCAAATATTCATTCATTTGATTTTGATGAATCAATTGAAAGTGTTAAGTGTAAAGGAGATAATTTAGTTGTTTCAACAAATAATAGGTCTATTGAAACATGGAGTAAACAATCTCTTGTTACAGGGTCTAATGAAATGTGGAATTGTTCTTGTTCATTAAACCGAAAAATTAAGAGTATTAAACTGTTATATACAAAAGACAAGTTATACTATTATCTACTTAGAACAAAGAAAGTTTCTTTGAGGAATATTTTAACCAAGCAGAAATATTGTACAAACCAACAATAGATGACTCAATAAGTAGAAGAACTGAATATAATAATTTTAAAAATGTAATTTTCAAAGTAAAACCTTTTGTAGATACATCAAATATTAAAGTAACTGCAACTCTAACAAAAATACTTAAACCAATTAACAATTTAAATATAAAAGAAGATTTAAACCTACTAAAGAAATTACCATTTATTATTGACTCACCACTAAGAGATATAAATTTACTAGAAAGTGATGTATATTGTGTGTCATACAGTTTATTAAAAGGAAATAAAAGTATAATAAATCAAGTAATTTTAACGACTTATGAATTACAAAATTTTTATTTCCTACATTCAAATAAAATAATTAAAAGATATATCAGTAAAATGGAAAAGTATGTGCCTGGTAATATTTATACAACTTGTTTTAAAATCGATAATAATTATCAACAAGATAAAAGCTATTTAGTTACAATGAAAATGAAAGGATATTATGAAGTTGAAATTAATAACTTTTATGTAGAAAAACCAGAAAGTTCTATGTCAATGACACAAACTGAAGCAAAGTATGTAGATTATACACAAACAAAGAGAGTTACAGTTGAATGGGATTATTTAAATAAAACTAATCTGGTAGATCTTATTATTATGAAATTAAAAAGGTATAAATATGAAATTGATGAAACAAATAAAGACGATCACTATATAATAGAGTTTACTAAATTAAAAGAAGAGTTTGTTTCAGAAAAAACAATAGCTACAGAAGTAAATTGTACTCATTATTTTAAATTAATTAATCACTGCTTAAATAATTCAATACATGGTAATTTGTGTTTAATGAGAGCATCAAGTTTCTTTACCAATAAATTTAGTGATATTAGTGGTGAACTCGAAATTGAAACACCTATACTTGGCACATCATATAAAACAGGAGATAATATTATAGTTACCTGGAGCTGTAGAAATTATAGTGGTGATAAAGATTTATATATAAAGTTAATGAGACATAAGATAACTGCAACTTTTGTATACTCAGTTATAAAAGTTAAAGCAAATGATACAGGAATAAAAATCAAAGTACCAAAATTAGAAGATGGTACAAATTATTTTATTCAAATGGAAAGTGTAGATAATAAAATAAAGAAATATGCATTCTCTGACTTTTTCTATATTAATCATGTAAAAATAATAGACTTTTATAAAGGTGGTATTGAATACGATACTCTTAATAAACAGTTATTTATCAAATTTAAAACAATAAGTCATACTAAATTGGAAAATGATTCATTTATTACTATTAAACAAGATTTTCCAATGTATATAACAAATGAACTTCCTTTAACTAATGTAAAGTATAGAATTAATTCTATGAATATATCGGATAAAATCACTCATTATGAATATTCTCTAATTATTAACCATTTTGACTCTCCTTCGATTTTCTATATATGTTTTTCTTATGATTGTAAAAATAATGATTCCATATGTCACTCTGAATATTCTCAAAAATTTAGAGTCTCAAGTGGTTGGATTACTTTTTGGAATGTTAATGAATATGGAATTATTGAAAAGAGAAAGTTAGATTTGGTTCAAATCAAATGTAAAGAATGTTTTAAAATTAATAAAATATCTACTGGTAGTACATTTTGTAAATGGTGCAAACATTTTTATAAGAAAAAAGTTCGTAGTAGTGTTAAAATACGATCAACCTGTGAGGGATGCTATCTTTATAATGACATTAAAGTTGGACCAATCCAAGTAGACATAGGGCCTACAGGTATCAAAAACGTTAATGCACATTTTGTTGGACATTTAGGATTAAATTTAAATGTAAAGAATTTCTTTAAAGGTAAACTAAAGTTGAAACGCCGTATCAAATTCTTAAAACTACCATTCTTTCGTATTCTACCTATTAATTTAGGTATTATCCCATTAAACTTTGGCGTGGATCTTGATTCTGGAATTGTATTCGATTTAAAGTTAACAGGTTCAATAGGGTATAAGTCAATAACTCAAATGGATATAGACTATGCTTTTGATCTTTCTTATCCACTTACAAAAACAAACATTAATACTTTAGTTAGTAATTATACACAAGTATTGAATAAAAAGAAAATTATATTTGACCCTCTTATTGATACAAACGCTGATGCAAAATTAACAATTACACCATTTATTGGAATTTCTCTTTCAACACCTCTGTTTAAAGGATATGCAAAACTTAAATTTCCTTTTGTTAATAAAATTAGTTATAACAATAAATCATTTCGAGGAACTAATGATTCTAGTATTGCACCAATTGTTAAGAACTTAGAAAATGACCATTATTTTGAATATACAACTAGTGTTAAAGGATTAGTTGATATTGGGTTTAAATTGGATTTGATACTGTACAAAAAGAAATATAGTACTTCAATTAAATTATTTGGCCCAATAAATTTATTAAAAGCCGGTTTCATTGATGTTGGTACATCACAAAAAATTATAGACCAACATATAACAACACCTTCTGATTATATAAAAGAGTATAAAAATAATACAAAAGAATGTATTGAACAAATAACAAAGGATATTATTAAACATGTTTATAATCATTATTCAAAACGAATAAAAACTGTTGACCTGTTTGTTCATTATCATGAACAAAAGAATATATCACAAATTAATCAATCTACTATTTTTAATATTAAAACTCCTATCATTTCTTGTAGTGAAATGATAATGACTCAATTAGGTACTGTGTTGAATGTTAATGATTTTAAGTGTATTCATCTTACATTATATTCAAAATATAAAAATGATTACAGTGATAGTGAAATAAATTATGAAGTTACTAATACAATGAAACAAATAACAAAATTTAACATTAATACAAATAAAAGTACGATTCATTCAAATAATTCTGATGTTAAACATTATTCATTTCATAAAATATGTTTTATAAGTTGATTATAGAAGTTAATTAACAAACCACTAAAATAAAATATTTCATTATAAAATATTGAATTAGAATCAATATAGATGATAACGTAACTTTAGTACACCATTATATCGTATTTAATTTATTTGATTGTATTGAATACAATCATAATTCAATAATTTTTATAACAAATACAATTTTTAATGTTTTAAGAAGTAAATAACAAAGTAACACAATCTGTGAATGAAATTATAAATAAAAAACATATTAACATTACTAAGTGGTGTAATTATAATATTAGATAAATATAAAACATTAACATATTAATTTACATTAATCATATTGAAATGAATATCTTATAGAACTAAATATTTATTGTTTTAAATGATACATAATAAGAATCACTATTATAACAACAATAATTCATTTTTATCATAATTAATATTGATTGTTATTAATCATTAAATAGAACTATTTCATTTAACATTGACTATTCATTGAAATATAAAATAATATAACACAATGATAAATAGATGATTATTTGTTGTTTATGTAAATAATGAAAGAATATTGAAAATTATAATAAATTTCACAAAAAATATAAATAATATGTCAACCCTTAATAACCCTTATTTTCCATTTATATTATACATTTTAAAGAAATTTTTAAAATTAAAATAAAAATTTTTAATTTATTTTCTAAATTTAAGAAACCCTAAAAAAAATACAAAAAATGAAAAATAAAAAAAAATGAAAAAGAAAAAGAGAAGAGATGGATGATACTGCTTCTAAACAAAAGACATTCAAAGATTTAGGATTGATTCCTGAAGTGTTGAAAGTAGTAGAGTATTTAGGATATAAGAAACCAACAAAAATTCAAGAAAATTCTATTCCAGTTGCATTACAAAAGAAAGATATTATTGGAATTGCACAAACAGGAAGTGGAAAAACAGCATCATTTCTACTTCCAATGATTCAACATTTATTAAATGTTAAAGAAAAGAATAGAGCATTTTATTGTATTATTATTGAACCAACAAGAGAATTAGCAGCACAAGTAGTTGAAGTATTAGATGAAATAGGAAAAGCACTTCCTGGATTAATGTCATGTTTATTAGTAGGAGGAATGGATGTAATGAAACAAAGTATTCAACTTGCAAAAAGACCACATGTAATTGTTGGAACACCAGGAAGAATAGTTTATCATATTAAAAATACAAAAGGAGTTGAAGAATCAATTCAAAAAGTTAAATTTTTAGTAATTGATGAAGCTGATAAATTACTTGAGATGGATTTTGCAAATGAAATTGATTATTTAATTGAAAAATTACCAAGTCAAAGAACAACAATGTTGTTTTCAGCAACTATGTCAACAAAAGTTGAAAAATTACAACGAGCATCATTAACACATCCTGTTAAAATTAAAGAAGAAGAACAAAAATATCAAACAGTTGATACATTAAGACAAGAATATTGTTTTATTCCATTTAAATATAGAGATGGATATTTATTAAGTATATTAAAAGAAACAGAAGGAAAATCAATTATTATATTTACTATGAAATGTTCAGGATGTACAAAATTAGTAATGATGTTAAGACAATTAGGATATGCAGCAATTCCATTACATGGGAAAATGAGTCAACAAAAACGATTAATTGCATTAGAAAAATTTAAAAGTGGGAAAAGAGGGATTTTGGTTGCTACAGATGTTGCATCAAGAGGACTTGATATTCCAAATGTTGATATTGTTATTAATTATGATTGTCCACTTGAACCAAAAGATTATATTCATCGAGTTGGAAGAACTGCAAGAGCAGGAAAAAGTGGATATGCAATTACACTTGTAACACAATATTCAATTGAATTATATCAACGAATTGAAACAATGATTGAAAAGAAATTAAATGAATATAAAGTAAATGAAAAAGAAGCAATTGCATATTCACAAAAGGCAAATGATGCAATGAGAATTGTTAGTCAACAACTTAAAGAAGAAGCACAAAAGAAAAAAGAAAAACTTCAAAAAGGACAAAAAAAATTAAATGAAGAAGAAGATAATGATGAATAAATAAATTAATTAATTGATTGATTATTAATTTTATTATTGTAAAGAAAAAATACTAATTTCAAAACATAAAAATCCATTATTAATTGGATGAATAAATTGTAATGATGGAAATTTTCTATTTAATTGAATTAAATATTTTTGTAATTCAATCATTTTTCTATGATATTGATTTTTAAAACAACAATTTGTTAATCCACAACTTATACATGAAAAACTTTCTTCAATAATTGTTTTCCATGTAATAGTTTCTGCTTCAATAAAATATTGATTTATTTGATTTATAATTATTTCAAATTCATTATTTTCAATTAATCCAGCTAATTGTTGTGGTCTTGTTGTAAAGAATCTTGGTGTAAGTCCTTTTGAATAATCTCTATCTATACTCACAATTTGATATTGTGGTGTTTGCATTAAATAAATTTTTTTTATTTTTATATATTTTATTATTTATATTTATTTATTATTATATAATAAATATTATTATTAAAAAGAAACTAAATTAAATAGAAAGAACAATAATTGTTCCAATATCATCTGATGCTACTACTTTCATATTATTATCAGTTTCAATAGCACTAATTGATATAACTATCTTCACTGAATTAACGACGACTGATTGTAGAAACACTTCCAAATATTCAACAATCAATTGATGATATTACTAAACATTATCATTATTATTTAGGTTGTATTAAAAATGAATTATTTAAAATAAAACCAGATGAAACTATTCAGAAGCTATTAAAAGAGGAGAAGGAATATTTGATAGAATTGATGAAATAGTTAGAAGAAGAAGAATAGAATAGAAAAAGGACAAGAAACAATAAATAAAACAATAGAAATAATTAAAAATAAAATGAACAAAATAATAGAAAAATGTAATTCAGATGAAGAAATACTAAGTAAAACAAAGGATGAAATAATAGATAAAATCATTTCAATTGAAGAAATGGTCATGAAGATTGGTTAAACCAGAAGAAGAAATTAATAAGAAGAAAGAAAAACCAATAAAACAATTTGGAGTTGTTTTTGTAGAAAGAAAAGAAGAAAAGAAAGTAACATAAAAATGTTTTCCAATAAGAAAGACTTATCAACAAGGTTTATTACTTATTGATTTGCTTGTTTAGTGTTTCAAACATTCAAAAAGTGAAAAATTAATTATTATAATTTTTATTTTTTACTAATATTATTTTTTTATAAATCAAAAAAATTTCAAATCATAAATTAAAGAAAAGAAAATAAAAATTATTTGGAAGTAATCAAAATTAATTAATTAAGTGATAATAGAATTGGTATCTATTATTCCTGGATCACTGGAGATTAGTCTTGTCAATGAGTCTTCGTCAAGTATTTCTACGAGTATATTCTATTATTGTAGAAGCAACCTTTCATAACATCCATCATATTCTTAATTACAAGGTTTTTAATATCTTTTATGATGTTAATTTCGATTTTTATTTCTTTAATTAATTTAATACTTTCTAGATTTATTAATTAATTTATTGAAATTACTACTGTATTTATTTTGATATCTTTTAATTTCTCTATTTTAATTATTATACTCTTTATTTCTTTATACTTATTTCTTTTATTCAAATATGCACCATTAATACTGTAATATGCTACATTATTCATAGCAAATAATAGATCATTTTTATCTTTTTATTTATTACATATATATGATATTTTATGATATTATCAATCATTTTTGATATATTTATTTGTTCAATATCATAGTGATGTCATTGTATTAGAACATTATTTCATATGTTGATTTCTTATATTGTTTATTTCATTTATATTTTCTTATTATCTAATATGATATACTAATATTGTCATGTTTCTCATTTTGTGATTTTTTATGACAAATACAAGATAATAGAATGTGTTTTACTATTGTTATCTTGTATTTACAAAGTGGATAATATTTTATTCATTTTTTAATATTTTATCTTTTCTATACATATTGAATATTACTCCATCTTGCATTTTAGTTAATTGGAGAAATGTATTTTTCTTTATGTTGATTGACTTCCATGCATTTATTGTAGTAGTTTTATCTACAAATTTTGACTCGAACCATCTTCTAAAATGTCAACTTGTTTGATTTCCATTTTTTGATGTATTTGTTGGTCATTATTTTATTTATTTTTAATACTACTTCTTTTTTATTTTCAATAAATTCATTTATTATTTTTCTATTTTCGTTTCTGGGATCTTATGACTTAGTGCTTTTTTAATTCTATTCCATATTCCTTTCTTAGAATACCATCTATCTATTATGTTATTTCTTATTTCACTCTTGTACATTAGTACATTACTGTTCTAATTATTTCATTAACATATTCGTCACTTAGGCTTATTAATCATTCACCCATTTCATTTATATTGACATATAGACGGTCTTTGGAGTTACAACAATGTATTTTGCCTTTCTTAAATATTTTCTTATCTCCAAATCCATTCTATCTATGTTACATTCCAATTTATTACTGATACTGAATATCTGAAGATGGGTATTACTTCATTATTAATTCTTGTATTATATCTTCTATTACTACTTTCATCAGTATTTATCTCTTCCATTTTCTTCATCATCTTTTCTTTGATGATTTTACAATTGAATGTATCATTAATTTCATCTGATTGTCATACACCTAAATATTTATACAAGTCCTCTCCTTCAATTATTGGGATGTTTTGTATTCCATTTGGTATTTTATTAATGTTCTTTAATACCATTCCTGATTTATTTTCATTCATTTCCATCCTTATTCCACTTATTATTTCTTTAATTTCATTGTGGATTGTTCCCATTTCTTCACTACTTTGTGTCATTATTCTCAAATCATCCATATACAATGTATGGTTTGTTTTTGGGAACTTCTCTTCTATGAAATGAGAAATTATATTCATTTGGATGATGAAGAGTAGAGGGGATAAGGAATCGCATTGTAAAATTCATCAATTTAATACATCCTAGATATTCATTATATTTATATCCTATGAATATCTTCCATCTGTTCATCATACTTTCTACAATGTCTATGATGACACCCTCTACATTAAAATATTTAAGTGATTCTATTACCCATTCATGATTTACTGAGTCATATGTTTTCTTAATATCATAATATGACTCTACATATTTT